GTACAACCTATTCTTTATAGTGTCTACTTTATAATAATTTTTGGTTTTTTGTTCTACATTCAAAATTGTAGAATGCAGAGTGCCTATCGTTTCATGTATTTAAAAAAAATATGGTTCTTTACATTCGACGGGTCTATGGGCCAAAAGGCGTTTAAATATGAAATTCCAAATAAATTTATTAATCTTTATCGAAGATACAACGATTTATGTTTAAAAATTGAATGAATTTTGAGAATTTAAATTTTTCTGTTTTTGTTATTATTTTCTAAAATATTCGTTTTACAAAAAAATCTCAAAGGAAAAAAAGATGCGTCTCTTTATTTCCTATGACGTAGTAGTAGCTTTCAAACGTCAAAATTTCGATTTTCAATTTTTTCATAATTTTGACCGTTTGACTGGCTTTAGAGTCAGGGAGTCTAACAAGGATTGAGAAAAAAATTCCCTGACTCCTCCCTGACATTTTTTGATTTTTCCCTGACTTTTTAATAACCTTATTTCTGCTTTCTTTGGAAAAAAATATTGTTACTGACATATTTGACAATAAATTAATTTTTAATGGTAGTAACAAATGGTAATAAAAACCATTCAAGTTTTTTTAGATTAAAAACTTTTTAAATTCACAAAAAATTTTAATTTTTGTAGAAATTTACAGAAATTTCCCTGACTTTGAATGAAAATTTTGAAATTTCCTGACTTTTCCCTGACCGTTAGACACCCTGAGAGTCCAGCCAAGCGTACGTCCCCGTATTGTTTCTAGCCATTCAATTTCATTCTAATTACACTAGTTTAAAAAGGTTTTGACCTGCGACATTTCACTGTCATTTTTCATGTAAAATTTGCTTCTGAATCTGAAGATGAAATATTAACTCTTGATGTAGTTGACATCTCCTGTTTAAAAAATCCTTATTTTACTTTTCTTAAAGCAAATTAAAAGTAATTAAATTTCTTATAAAAAAGTATTGATAACATTTTTATTTATAAATGATTGTAGGACACTTTTCCCAAAACAAGTTTCCCAAAGATTTTTTTCCCAACAAAAACTTTTTCCAATAACATATTCTTTCCCCAAAAATTTTTTTAACGTTATTATTTATGTTCAAAAATATGAAATTCGAATTTTATTTCTCAACAAATTCTCATTTGGAAAAACAAATGCGAAAAAGCGTGTCATTTGCGTGTCAGTTTCGCAGTAGAAATTTTGGTTACCTTTGGTTTTTCGATTTAATTTCTAAATTTCTAGTAAATAGTGGCCCTCGTTGAATTAATTAAATCGAGGAAAAGACATTTTCTGCATAATAGGTTTCAAATAGTTGTCGGTATGAGGAACATCTTGTAGGTTTTCAGCAAAATTATACAGAATACATTGAAGACAATGATGTTGTCTCTTACTTACGTACAGTTGGATACCACACATAAAGTTCGTTGGGAAACTTGTTTTGGGAAAAGTGTCCCCCTACCTTATGAATTTCTCATTATTTTTAACAAAATTTAAGAGAAAATGATTGAGTTTGTCGGTAAATTACGTCATAAAAAACGTTCTTACTTTCAATATTTTATCTGGATGTCATAATATAATCTCTCATGAAGAAAATAAGCCGTTGCAGATCTAAATTAAACTGCAAATGTAAAAGGTATAAGCACTTAAGTAAATTTACAGGAAATTACTTTTTATCCAATTTTATTATTTATTATCTATATATCATATAGTTTGATGTTTTTAAAAAATTTAAACATCAAAAGTGGCTCAAACTTAATTTGCAAAGTTTTCTGTGGTCTTTGTCTGTTTCTCAAATAAGAAAACAATAGAAATCACCCATCATTGCCTCGTCTCAAAATCCTTGGTAGTGACGTTCTATGTCCTTCATTTGTTAGTGAAAACGTTTTCTGCGTTCATCGCTTTCAGCATCTACATTTTCTGTGAAGAAATCCAGGTGGGAGGGTAAAAATTAGATTTTCAGACATATTTACATCTATTCCAATAAAATGGGAGATATAAAGTTAGGAAGTTAAGAATGTATTTGAGACTGATTAAAGTTATCACAAATAATTAATTCAACAAGGAATTTAAGTTAAAAATTGGAAAAATTATTAAATCTTAAAATAGTTGCAGTTACAACTGTTAAAAACAATTGAACTTCAGAAGATTTTTAATCAAAATTTTAATAAATTTAAATTATTGAATACTTTTTTAATAGACTTAGAAAAGAATTGAATTTTAGAAAAATATTTATTGAGAAAGTGTTTTAAATAATAAAATTTTCAGAAAATTTTGATGAAAGTATGTTTTGTTCAAAAAAGTCGAAAAAGTCACATTTTTTAAAAATAAGTCGAAATAGTCGCATTCATTGAAAAAAGTCGTGCAATCCAAAGCTTGTAATTTTTTGGTATTTTTATGAAATATCCCATTATTTAAGTTTCAACATAAAATAGGGGAAATGAGTGAAAAAAAGAGACATTTTTAAAATAGAGGAAAAATAGGGGAAACACTGTGAACCCTGTAAGAGATTAAATTATGACATTTGGACAAAAAAAATTGCAAGTAAAAACGTTTTTATGACGTAATTTACCGAAAAAGTCAATTATTTTCTAAAATTTTGATAAAAATAATCAGAAATTTCAGAAAAATTCATAAGTAGCTCCTAAACCATTAGTCTGATTAAAAAATGTTATCAATACCTTTTTATAAGAAATTTAATTACTTTTAATTTGTTTTGAAGAATATTAAAATCAATTACACAAAAAATGGCATTAGTAAGAATGACTAAAAATGTGTAGTTAAAAAAAAGAAGTTAAAAGTACCATATTTAGAACCATTTTAACTAAACTTAGACAGTTGTTGGTACTAAGTTTTAGTAGTCAATTTCACTTAGTTAAAATTGCTAATATTTGTAGTTGAAATAACTGTCATGTGATTTTAAATAGCTTTACAACACTTTAATAGTTAAGGTATCACATCGGTAAAACCGTTTTCTATAGATTTTCTTGAAAATTTTACCATATGTTCTTATTATCATTCTTGACAAATTTGCAAAATATGAAGAATTTTCGCCGTACGAAACCAGAGATATTAGCAATCAAAGTTGCTTATTTTGCATGGGAGACGGGACTAATGTATGGGGGAGAAGTACATTTTCATAAATATCCTCAGAAGTTTTCTATAAATTTTTTTCAAAAACTAATGTTGAATTCACGAATAAATTTGGAACTAAAATATACAAAGAAATTTATAATTTACCGTGCCGTTTATTTGTAATTATAAATTAAAAATTCTATTTCATGACGTCATTTGCAATATATAGCACACCCGCCACTTTGATGTGGCAACATCGCAGGATGGTAACATTAGTTAGAGAGAGACAGTAGTCCACAGTAGTCAAAGCGAGACTTATAGCGACGTTGTCAAACCTCCTACTCCTTCCAATCGCTGCTAGTGTGGGGTATACGTGTACGAGTGTATTTGTAGAAGTAGGTACAGTATGAGCTGAGAGTATAGGGAGTTGAGGGCGAAAGTATAGAGCGGGAAGTAGTAATGCGAGCTACAAACTTTTGACTCCGATTAGTGCCGATGTGATACCTTAAAACTACTTTTAAAAATTGTTATTTTTAGGATTTGTGTAGTTGAAAGAAGCATTTCTTATTAGTTAAAGAAAAAAATTAGACTTACTGTTTTCATGTAGTTAAAATAAGTGTTAAAAATAGTTATTTTTATGATTTATGTAGTTGAAAAAAACAATTTTTCATAGTTGCAGAAAAACAACTAAACTTAATGTTTTTATGTAGTTAAAATAAGTGTTGAAAATAGTATCAAAATCAAAATGTTTCCAAGTTATTAAGAAAATACTTTAAAATTGATAACTGAAGAGCAAAAAAATCCAAAATGTTTCTTAGTTATTAAGAAAATACTTTGAAGTTAAAAACAGAAGAGCAAAAAAATCCAAAATGTTTCTAAATTCTTAAGAAAATATTTTAAAATTAAAAAACGAAGAGCAAAAAAATGTCTCATGTACCATTTTTGATTTTTCGAATATGGCGCCGCTGAGTGATCTTACCTTTTTTTTACTAAATTTTATAGTTGATTTAACCGTTTTTACATAGTTGTTTCAACTACTTTTTGTTAATAGGCGCCTCCTGGAACTATGAAAATTAGTTACTGCAACCTAATGAAACAGTTAATGAGACTGACAAAAAATCACTGAATTAACTTCTTTATTTGGTTAAATTTACCATAAAAGTAGTAATTTTTACTATACTTTACAGTTTATCTGACAATTTTTACATAGTTGTTTCAACTACTGTTTGTTCATAGGCGCCTCCTGGAACTAGGAGAAATAGTTAAAATTTAGTCAAATTTACCATGAATTTTTTTGAGTGTACCTATATCAGGAAATAATAACAAATTAGTTTACCCACTTTTTTCATAACTAATATTCGGATTCAGGAGAAAATTTTAAATAAAAAATGACAGTGAAATATCGCAGGTCAGAAAATTTTTCAATTTTGTAAACTAGTGTTATTGAAAATCATTAATTTAGAAAAGAATTTTAGTTTAAAATTTGTTAAAGAATTGAAATAAAGATCTGAAAAAATCTGACTTGTATACTAAAAAATACGTATTTTGTAAAAAAATCGAATCTTATTAAAATAAGTCAGAAAAGTTGTATCATCAGAGGCTTGTGAGAATGTGATTGTTTAGGTTATTTATCGTGAATTCTCGTTAGAATGCAACTCTATCCAAAAGAACTACGTTTTACAAAATAATTCTGTTATTCGTGAAAATGAGATGTTCTGTTTACATTTACCTCATATCTTATCTAATGAATTTTGTTATTAATAGATTTTACAGAATTTTTATTGAAAATACACAAACTAACCTATAATCAGGAGTTAATTTATAAAAAAAAATTGTAAATTAAAAATAATTTTATGTCAGACGTTCGAAGGAAATTTTTATTTATTTTTTTTATTCAATATTATGTTATTTACTTTCAAGCCATACATACTTTTTCTACAGTTCATAAGCAACAATAATATTGCTTTCCTGTTCATATCGGTCGACTGTTTTCATCATCAATTAAACCACTTATATTAATTCCTTCGTTTGAATTCATTTCATGAAGTAATCGTTTTTAGTGATGAGAGTATCAACCAATTTTTATACTGCTGTCAAAAGCAAACGACTTTAAAAATCTTAGTTAATTAATATATTAAATATTTAATAATATTAGATATTGCACCTCTATTGCGCACTTATTTTCTTTTCCACTTTTTTTCTTTCATTTTAATATTTTTAGGCAAATATAATTCACTTTAACCGGCATTCACATTTCACAAATTAAATAAACAAAAAACAAATTTATAAATATAGATAGATTGAGCAGTTAGGGTATGGACTACGGAAGCTTCTATCCACTAAGAACTCACTCGCTTTAAGGCCTAAGCACAACTGAGTCAGGCACGCGATTCGGATACGGGATATGTAAGTTCCCGCAACCGTCTTTAATTGTACGTTGGTATAATGGAGCGGTCACACCTCGCCTGCAGGAGCAGTTGCCAATGGCAACCGTCAGGGTAAGAGTAAGAGAGATGGAAAATCTTCTATCTCTCTTACTCTTACACGGTTGCCATGGGCAACTGCTCCTGCAGCCGAGGTGTGACCGCTCCATTATACTACTCCATGTAAAAGACTTAAAGGAGATCGGAATTAATTTCCGCTTTATGTAAAATAGTGTTGTGCTTATTAATTTTTTTTTGTATAATACAATTTAAACATTTTCAATATTTGTGTTTTATGACAAATAAGATTTATATATAATTTAAATATTAGCGCTCATTTTTGAAGAAATAAACTGCAGCTCCATCTGTACATTTCTAATCTTGAAATATGTTTCTCCCTTCTATTGTTCTATTTACATTTTTCATTCTCAATGAAATTTCTCAATAAGAAATTTATTTCGATAGTTTTTCGAGTTCGATTTTTTTCTATTCGACCTTTTATCGCAATGTTTTTTTTTAGAAAGGACTTAAACATGGAAAACGCTTGTTGATATATAATGAAATTAAAATGTGTGTTGATAATTAATTTTGTTATATATTTGATTCAATTGCATTGATAGATTCTCTGAATTCGTGATAAAATATAAATTTTAAGGTTATGGGTGTTTGTTTACTAACTTGAAATCTTTTACTGCTACGGTAATTCCCACTTAAAATATATATTTTATATCTTTTTTAATAACATGCATACTGGATATTGTTTAATAATGTTGTTAAAATGTAAAATGTGATTAGTAAACAAACACCCCTAACCTCAAAATTTAAATTATATCACGAATTCAGAGAATCTATCAATGCAATTGAATCAAATATATAACAAAATTAATTATAAACACACATTTTAATTTTATTATATATCAACAAGCGTTTTCCATGTTTAATATACGAATAAAATTGATGAAAGTGGAAACAAATTTTCTTCCCCATAAAGGCCTGAGCAGAATAGAATCATAACCGAATCGTAACCGCAAACGTAACCGGAATAATGAGTTAGAGAAGGATAAACAATATGTCTACCCTTCTCTATCTCATTCTTCCGGTTGCGTTTGCGATTACGATTCCGGTTACGTTTCTATTCTGCTCAAGCCTTAAGAATAACATTGTGTCGTCTGTTTGTTGTCCTTCCAGGCCTCTGACGTCATATCTTGAACTCGAAATATCTCGATGAACTGAGCCTAATTGAAACATCGATGTTCTACGGAAGCTTCTACGCGCCATCACAAAACCAAGTTTATGCTCGATTCATTTTAGCCTAGAAAACTAAAGAACCGTGTGTGATTTCGCTGTTTCCATGTTTGACGTGAAAAACCGCGAGGTGGTTCGGGTGTTCGGTCGTTCGCACGTTCGCAGATTCGACAATTTGTTCAAAGTCGTGTAACATTGTCTTTTTAGTTATATTTATTGATAAAAGTAAATACAATTTTTTTACGTAATTTTTTGTATTCTTTAACATTTGCATACTTGAAATTAATTTCTTCTTAAAATTTGTAAGAAATAATTATCTGTTTCTGTTTACCTCTAAATTTTAGCAAAGTTGAAAAATTTAGAGGTAAATAGAAACAGATGATTATTGCGATTTAATGATACCCAAATTTTTTACTACTCTATAAAACTATTCCACGGAAGTGAAATAATAACACAATACACAAAAAACCCGAAAGTATTGCGATTTAAAAGAAAAAACTTATGTTATTGGTGAAATATAGCAAATATGTTTCTATTTACCCCAGCTGACGCTAACTAATTTCTTTATTTTATAATTTCCATTAAAGAAATAAAGAAAATAAATAAAGAAATTAAGAAAGAAATTTCAAAGAAAATTCTAGAAGATTTTTATAAATTTAAATCAAATAATTTAAATTTTTTCAATTGAAAACTTTCATTATTATATTGTCAAAAAATAAAATTTATAATCTTTCAAATTTTAATTGTTTTAAAAAATTGTCTTCAAATCATTCATTTTTAATAATTTTAATAAAGATTTAAAATTGAATAATTTTAAAACATTTTCTTGAGAATTCTCTAAAACTCAATTATTCTAAAAAATAGAATTGTAAAAAACTCTCGTCGCAGCAATTAACACTTACAATTACTTCAATTTCAAAACTATTGAAATTTGAGTTTTTAATATTAACTATGAGTACATTTTGGAAAATTAAATTATCTTCATAATACTTTTATCTATAAAATTTACCATCAAATGCGTTTCCAACTATTATAAAGAAGTTTTTCGACAATTCAATTATTTTTTTCACTATTATAAGAAACGAAATATATCATGTACTATATATAATAAAAATTTTTAATAAATTGGCTGAAATTCATAAAAAAGACTTTAGCAATTCAGACAGACATTCAGTCAGACATTCATTTTTGTAAAAAAATTTGTACATAAATTTATGTGTCAGTGATTGTTGTAAATCAAAAATTTGTTAGTTACATTCAATATTATATTAAGTATTAAAAAACAACATGTTTCAAAATAATTTGGACTGATCCCTCTTCATAAAACTTTGTTTATTTGGAAGCGTTGTTTATCATGCTTATCAAATTCTAAAGCTGTCAAAAAGCAATTTCTTGGCGGGATGACTTTACATAGAAATAAAAAAACCCCGCACGAAATTACACAGGATTATTAACATCCTATTAAATAATTGCTTCTCTCTAAGCATTATACATATATTATTGTAAATAATATAAGATAACCATGTGAAAAGGAAGGACAATTATTATGTAAAATCTCACGTGCATACATACTACATAACCTTATATTAAAATAAATCGATTATTTATTTATATTTATTATTACATAAATAACAAAGAAAAACACCAATCCACCTCAAAATAACGATATTTTCTACTCAAAATAAAAGCAAAAACTTTATTTAATTGCAGACATAATAAAATCTTACATAAAATTTAAGAATCGATATATCAACGTATTTACTTTTATCTATAAATATAACTAAAAAGACAATGTTACACGATTTTGGACAAATTGTCGAATCAGCGAACGTGCGAACGACCGAACACCCGACCTCGCGGTTTTTCACGTCAAGGCGGTTCCAGAATAGGTGCAAAAGTCAAGTACAAGTGCAAGTCCAACTGCAAATCCCATGAGTGCAAGAGAGATAGATAGACTGCCTATCTCTTTCGCACTCATGGGATTTGCACTTGGACTTGCACTTGTACTTGTACTTGGCTTTTGCATCTATTCTGGAACCGCCTTCAAAGACATGGAAACCAGTGTTGTCAGATGCCTATGGCGCTTTCCCCCTAGATGGCTAGATATTTTCCACTAAAAATAAATTTTTTCCACAAAAAATTTTTTTCCCGAATTTTCACTACACTCTAAATATGAATCAGTGAAAATTTCACTGAATTCAAATCAGTGCACAGTGGCCGATTTCCCGAAAAACCTGGCCAAAAATCGAAAAATGATACGGTTTCAATCAAAATTGGTATACCCATGTTTTTTGGGCTTCTGAATTCAAATTTTACATTGGTTGTGTCAAATTCAAAATGGCGGATCCAAAATGGCCGTTTAGATTTTAAAAAACTTTGCTAAAAATTAAAAAATGGTACGATTTTAACCAAACTTAGTATACTTACGTTTACTGGGTTTCTGAAATCAAATTTTACATTTGTTTTATCAAATTCAATATGGCGGATCCAAAATATTTGCTGGTATTATAAAATTGCGTATATGTGTTAGAGTTTATTTTTTTTAAATTACAGAATTTTAGTTTAAAGCGAATGCGAATGAAGAAAAAGTCAGTCTTTCACGTTCAGTTGCACCGCCGGCCGGTGCAACGCGCTGTCGGTAAACCGCGCTGGGTGAAATAAAAAGTGATACCAAAACTGCAGGGGCAGCTTGGGGCAGCTGATTTCAATTAAAATGAATCAAAAATATATTCTAGTTTATGATAATACCAGGTAGGGCGCGGATATCGGTGGATTTCACAACTATTTTCATGATTTACGTTGATAAAACAATACAAAAATCGTAGCCATGAATAGCGATGTTTAATGTCATTTTTTAAAAACTGTACGTTTTAAATGTGATGATAAATACATTCAACCTATTTCATACACCTTTGTTAATAATTCCCAAAAAAAGATATTCAAAAATCTGCTGTATATTAGTATATTTTCACTATTTTAACTGTGACGAAAATTTATAGTTATGAAACGTTCTGAGTAAATCTCTGGCAAAGATCACTTTTACTTGTTCACATAATAAATTGGTGATAAAAAAAGTGTAATTTTTTTCGCAAAATTATGCAGTGAACCCTCCTTTATAATATTCAATAATAAAAAGTATGAATTTCTAAAAAAAATTTTTTGACTTTTGGCCAGGTTTTTCGGGAAATCGGCCACTGTGCAGTGGCTCAGTTTTCTTTAATTCACCAATGCAATTTCACTGGGAATCAGTAAAAACCATTGATTCTCAGTGAAATTCCATTGGTGAATTAAAGAAAACTGAGCCACTGATTTGAATTCAGTGAAATTTTCACTGATTCATATTAAGAGTGTAGAAAAATAAAAATAAATAAATAGAAAACGTAAAAATTCTTAACTGAACGCAAAATTTAAAATTTTCGACACTAATTATGCAAAAGTTATTTAAACTTAGGGGTCAATCCATTATATTTCGACTGAAGTCGTCGCTGACTAATTTTTAAAAATTATAATACTTTACAGGAATGATTTTGAAGTTATCAAGATCACGAAATGAAAAGAATTTTATTAAAATTTTAATTATTTATTGCAAAATATGAATTTAAAGTTTATGAGGTGCTGAAAACTGTCAATTTTTTAGCCATTAGAAAATATGTAAAAATACGTAGAATTTTACGTAATTTTTCATTTTTCTCCAAGAAAGTTATTTACATTTGAAAATAGTGAAAATAAGCAAAGTGCCAATTTTTATTGCTTTTTATTTCACATTTATGAAGAAAAAAGGAAAAAAGTGCTAAGAAAAACTAAAAGTTAGTCACAGGTACTTTATATTTGGTAAGGTTTTTTTCAATTTAATGACTTCTCTTTCTCACATTTAATAGATGAAATTTGCAAATTTAGGTTATTAGACAGGCGAACTTGAAAATCATATTTTATATATTATTTCACATATTTAAATAATTACATCAATTGATAATGATAAATTTATTCATTCTTAGTAAATTACAACAATTTTTTTTTATTTTTATGGTAAATTCTGTTTTTTTTTTGCATATTTTCTAATGGCTAAAAAATTGACAGTTTTCAGCACCTCATATACTTTAAATTCATATTTTGCAATAAATAATTAAAATTTTAATAAAATTCCTTTCATTTCGTGATCTTGATAACTTCAAAATCATTCCTGCAAAGTATTATAATTTTTAAAAATTAGTCAGCGACGACTTCATTCGAAATATATTGGATTGACCCTTAGAGAATAGTTTAATAAAATTTAATATAGTTCAAGGTAATAAATATATAACAATAATGATAGACATTTTTTTGAAATTTCATTTATTTAAATATTAATTCCAGTTACAATTTATTTATAAAATTTATGAACTTAAGAACATGGAATCGACATTGCATTAATAATTGGGATCAGAAATCACGCGAAACTGACCCAGCCCTGAGCCTTCTTGTGACAACCATCTTGGTTTTTTATCTCTTTCTTTTGTATATGTTAGAGAAACACGGAATGAAAACATGGCCACCACAACAAGGCTCTCACCAGATGGCGTATCGCAGTATTAAGGCCAACGCAGAATAGGAATGTAACCGGAATCGTAATCGCAAACGCAACCGGAAGAATGAGTTAGAGAAGGATAGACATATTGTTTGTCCTTCTCTAACTCATTCTTCCGGTTGCGTTTGCGATTACGATTCCGGTTACGTTTCTATTCTGCTCAGGCCTTTTCAGATCCCAATATAAACTTCACGAATAAACTGTACTAAACTACGGAAGCCTGTACGGCTCACGAGCGTCTCGGACGCAAGTGGCAGTGTTTCGTACCACAAGTGACACGAAGTCCGTCCAACTTGTGGCAAGTTCGTTAGTTCGTGCCACTTGTGGAAAGTGGATTTTTTGAAGGGTCATTCACAAATATGACAATTCCGTTGGATCCTTTTGCCGTCTATTTCGTCAGTGCTTTTCATTTCAAGTATAATTTCATCCGGGCAAGTCCGTTTAATGTTTTTGAATAAAAATAAATTTGTTATTTTTTAATTGAAAATACATGTAAAAGATTACATTTCAGTGTTAACAAATGATATTGACATCTTTATTAATCTTAAATATTCATAAAAATATACTTTTGATTTTAAAAAATAAAATCCTCTTCATGTATTTTAAATTAAAAAATGACAACATAACCAAAAAATCTTATTTTTATTCTAAACTAAGAAAAATTAAAAAAAAACTAAGAAAAAACTTCCGCTTAATTCTTAGTGGAATCCTTAGTTTATTAATATGTATATTTACGTTTGGAAGGAGTATTTATGTGTGAACTATAAAAAGTTTGTTCGATGACATTTACTAATATGCTAATATTACTAATATCTTATAAAATTCATTTCTTCTTCTTCACATGAAATTGAAATGAAAAGCACTGACGAAATAGATAGCAACAGTATCCAACGGAATTGTCATATTTGTGAATGACCCTTCAAAAAATCCACTTTCCACAAGTGGCATGGAGTCTGTCCAACAAGTGGCACGAACTAACGAACTTGCCACAAGTTGGACGGACTTCGTGCCACTTGTGGTACGAAACACCGCCACTTGCGTCTGAGACGCTCATGAGCCGTACAGGCTTCCGTACTAAACAGCAGTGCATGGCTTGGCATGTAGAAGAGCATCATTTCTTATAGAACTGTGTGACTAATTTTGATTGACCCAGTCTGAACATTTGTTCAATCGCCATCAGTGTAACCAATCTAATTCACTTAAATAGTTTAAACTTAGTGACCACACTTTTAATACTTCAGATACAATTTACGTAGAAAAAATTACATTTAGGTAAAAACACTAAAAAAAACCAGTAAAGAAAAAAAAGATACTAAATTTCCTACTAAAATATTTCTCCTACTAAAAATGTTACTGAAGGACCAAAATCTTACTAAATTTAGTGGGAAAACCACTAACTTGGCAACACTGATGGAAACAGCGAAATCACACACGGTTCTTTTGGGAACGGTGGTCTAGTAACAATCTAGTAACTTTGACCCATTCTCTCCCTCCATTTTGTTTTTTCTACTCTTTCTAACCTATTAATTGAAGAGAGACAAAGAAAGAAAATGGAGGGAGAGAATGGGTCCCCACCAGATGGCGTATTGCAGTTTAGCCGATCCCATTAGTTTTCGAGGCTAAAATGAATCGAGCATAAACTTGGTTTCGCCTCGTTAAGGCCTTTCTCCAATAGGAACCTAAACTTTTGCGTTGCGTGACTGACGCGTTGATTTTAGCATTGGTTGCCAATAGCAACCGACGCAATGCATACGCAACGCAAGAGTTTAGGATCCTATTGGAGAAAGGCCTTTACGTGGTGGCGCGTAAAAGTTTCCGTAATATGTACCTCGTAACTCGAGTGAGTGCTTAGTGGTGGCGCATAAAAGCTTCCGTACTATATACAACCGTGGTGAAAGAGCAGAACCGGGGTGGTTTCGGTCTCATTATATTACTCCATGGTCAACAGTTGTCAACAGATATGTCAAAGCTGAAGGTTTCAACATTTTGTTTTGTGTAAATAAAAAAGGCAAGGTGATTTATATTATCAGAATTGGTCGTATAAGTTTTCAATTTCTCATTTTCAATTACCAATAACGAAAGTCACTGAAAGGTGTATCAATTCAGTAAAGAGAATAGAAGACTATTATTATTACACAAATGTTTTATGTTTTAAATATTTTCTTTTCTCCTAAAATACGCTTTGACAGTTAATTTTTTATATAGATGCTGAATCAGGTTTCTATAACTGATTAAAAATTTAAATAAAGGTTTAGAAAAATAATTACAGAAATGTTTTTTTGGGATTACAGAATGTGATCCATTTTCTAATTTTCTCTTATTTTTTAATTTAATTGCACCATGTTTTTACTTATTAAAAATTGCGTAAATGATTTCAAATTTAATACATCGAATCGTTTTTAAAAATCCTTTCAAAATTTTATGAGATCTAAGTTATAATTAATTATTATTTTAATCAACCATAAATTCAGACTCAAAACTTTTCTTTATCTTTTCAATCTATACTAATATAAATTTATTTAAATATAAATTCATTAAAAATTCAGTAAATCACAATTTTTATTATTACAGGCCTCGGATTATACTACAATTTTCTACTTATTATAATAAGATGCGCCTTTTTCGACTTTTTATATATTTTTTACAAAATTTTTAAGAAGTGACTATTTCCCCCGTCAGAGAAAATACATTGACTGACAAGATAAGAATTATAGTTTATTTCTTGTTAGAGAAAAACCATGGTTAAAAAATACTGGCAAAATAAAAAAAACTAATTATTTTGCCTGCCAGAGAAATAATACACTGTCTGAACGAAACAGGGTAGCGATTATGTATTTTGATTTAACTTTGACGTCAAAGTCATTTTCATTTTGACTTAGTAGTCAAATGTCATTTTTCGTAGTTTTACGTAAAATGATTGTTTTGATTTGTCAAATTGTAATATCCACAATTTATTTAGGAATTAAATTATAAAAAAGTAAAGTAAGTAATTTTAAACAGTTAAAAAAGCGGTATAATTAAGGAATTTTTAAAAGATTAATAATTAGATAAAAAATTATTTCTTCTGTCAACGGTAAGTATTTTTTAATGTTGAAACCAGGGATATGTTATAATTGTTTTGAATAATGCCTTAATTTCATTTTTATAAATGTAGTCAGAATAAAATAAACTAAAATATCAAAAACTAAAGAAGAAATTATGTCGTTTAAAAGATAATTCAACACATATAAAATTACTTACATTTGACCGATGAAATATTTTTTTCCTAAAATAATGTTAACTTAAATTAGTTTCCTACTGTTTTGAGCAAATTGACATTTTGTACATAATTTATTGATGTAATTTAAAATAGAAAATGCTGAACATAAATTATTATTAAAAATACTCAATTTTTTGGCATAATGTAATTGCAATTAATTCCTAAACATAAATTCAGTAACGAGACTGTTATTTATATTTGTGTAAATAAAAATTAACGATTAATTTTATTTAAACTGTAATTAATTATATATAAATAGTAATATTTAAATAATTCTTTCAATTTTTCCTCTTAACATATGTAAATGAATAAATAAATAAAATAATATTAATGTTTTAATTATATTTCATAAATTAAAGTTTTTTTAACGTCTTACTTTTACTTAGCTTGTTAAAGTTAGGAAAGTTTTTTTAAAAATCCTTGTAATGCTGTCTTGATCTTTTTAAAATTACTTACTTCACTTTCTCATCATTTAATTCCTAAATAAAGTTTTTATTCTTAAATTTTTAATAAAGGGAAAAAAGTAATTATACTTCAAAATTGTGGTTATTACAATTTGACAAATCAAAACAATCATTTTACGTAAAACTATGTAAAATGACATTTGACTACGAAGTCAAAATGAAAATGACTTTGACGTCAAAGGTAAATCAAAATACATAATCGCTACCCAGGCGAATTAATATAATTAAATAATTTCGCTTGTCAAATTAAAAATGTGTCATAAAAAAGCAGGCTTCACAGTGTTTCCCCTATTTTTCCTCTATTTTAAAAAATTCCCCTTTTTTTCACTTATTTCCCCTATTTTATGTTGAAACTCGAATAATGGGATGTTTCATAAAAATCCAAATTTGAACCAAAAAATTACAAGCCTCCAGGGTTGCGTATGTAATATACCTCAGGTAAATAACATAGAGTTTTTTCGTATATTACATATGTAAATTACCTTAAATTTTTCAAACACAATGCATTTTTTTATGGTGGGGGTTATTATACGTATTTTACAAATGTAAAAAACCCATGTAATGTACGTAAAAAACTCTGAGTTACGCGTAACTGTGCAACCCTGCAAGCCTCAGATTGCACGACTTTTTCAACTTTTTTTAATGAATGCAACTATTTCGACTTATTTTTATAAAATGTGATTTTTTTGAACAAAAGATATTTTCATCAAAATTTTTGGAAATTTGTATTATTTAAAACACATTCTCAGTACCTACCTACAAATTTTTCTAAAATTAAGTTATAGTCTGAATCTTATAAAATGATAATATAATGTAAAAAAATAAATTTCTTTAAATATAGAATTATTTTATTATGGGGTGAAAATTTCCCAACTGGGCCACCTACAACTGACTTTTCAAATTTAAAATATTTTTTTTCATAATCTATTGCAGGAAGCCGAATTAAAAACATACCTGAAATGCGTTTTTAAAAAAATTAATTTTTTAATTATTTATTAACAATTGAATATTTTGTTACCTTTCAACTAAATTTGCAATTACTCCGTTGCTTGTTAATGAAATTTAATAACATTTGGTGAGTATATAGAAATTTATGTCTCTTTGAAATGCAATAGAAATTTCAATTAACCTTTATTGATTATGCAAAAAAAATTGTTTATTTAATAAACAAATGAATATTTAAACTATTTCTCATATGTTTAGGAAAAAATTTCAAAAACGACATAAATCTACACTTTCTCAACTTTAATGAAGAAAACAAAAATTTTAGTACCTTTAAAAAATGAGTGAATTACGCGAATTTGAAGAGCGACATGCAAGCGCTGGAACAGCCACCACTGCCGCGCGCTACTACGCGTCGAAGCCTATTCTCTGTTATCGAACGATACTAATTTATACTAACATAATTTATACTAATACTAAATTGGCTAAATAAAAATTTGGTTTAGAGAAAATTTAATTAAATAAGAATTTGGTTAAATAAAAATTACGCTTAAATAAAAATTCGGTTAAATAAAAATCCTGCTATTGAAAAACGTGGTTCTACGTTAAAATAATTTTCTAAAATTCAAACTTAGTACACATTAAGCGTCCAAATTAAAATCTTTTCAATGAAATAACAAATTCATAAAACTAAATTTGTTCTGATATTTATAAGAAATAAAAATTAATTTTTTAAAATTATAAATTAATTATTAATTATTAAAATTAATTAATTTATGAATTCGTTATATCATCGAAAAGATTTTAATTTGGACGCTCAATGTGTACTAAGTTTGAAGTTTAGAAAATTAATTTAACGTAGAACCAAATTTTTTTATAGCAGAATTTTTATTTAACCGAATTTTTATATAACCAATTTTTTAATAGAATTTTTATTAAAACCTAATTTTTATATAACCGAATTTTTTTAATAGATTTTTCATTAAAACCTAATTTTTATTTAACCAAATTCTTTTTTAATTAAATTTCCGCTAAACCAAATTTTTATTTAGCCAAATTAGTATTAGTACACTACCGTCCGAAATTGTGCGAACTCTGCTTTTTCAACAACTATAAAACTGTTCAAATCTTCAAAAATATTAAAACTAAAATTTTTTCCTCTTTATTTTATTAAAGTTAATAAAATTCTGAAAGAAATTACACCTTGACAAAGAGAATATGTTAATTTTTCAATTAGATATCTAAGAAAAACCCAATTTTCAATGTTTTTACTATTTTTTTTATTTCTCTGGCAAAAATTAATATTTTTAAACGTTCTTAGGCTCATTGAAATCGTATTTTGTTATGCAATTCAAATTATATAAAACAATTCATGTACACATTCTTCCCTAGCGTATGCAAACCGTGAAAGTTGGCTCATAAAATGTCAAAAAATTGTGATTAATATTTATATGACAAAAAATGATCAGTAAAATGTATAAATCTTAAATTTACTTACATAAATCAGAGAAGTTTAGAATGATATATTTACTTGATTTTTAAACATTATATTTTATTGTAGAATTAAATTTTTTGACATTTTATGAGCCAACTTTCACGGTTTGCATACGCTAGGGAAGAATGTGTACATGAATTGTTTTATATAATTTGAATTGCATAACAAAATACGATTTCAATGAGCCTAAGAACGTTTAAAAATATTAATTTTTGACAAAGAAATAAAAAAAATAGTAAAAACATTGAAAATTGGGTTTTTCTTAGATATCTAATTGAAAAATTAACATATTCTCTTTGTCAAGGTGTCATTTCTTTCAGAATTTTATTAACTTTAATAAAATAAAGAGGACAAAATTTTAGTTTTAATATTTTTGAAGATTTGAACAGTTTTATAGTTGTTGAAAAAGCAGAGTTCGCACAATTTCGGACGGTAGTGTATAAAATAGTATCACTAGAGAAAATTTTACATTGGAATGTAAAATTTTCTCTAGTGATACTAATTCTTTTACTTGAAAATAATTCAATGAATATTCGTGTTTTGAAAAAATTCTCAGCAACCAGTTCTAATAAAAAGTTATATGATTGTTAAATAATAAAATAAAGGAAAAATTTGATATTCAAGAATTCTAGTCATAATTAGATAACAGAGAATAGGTTTCGACGCGTAGTAGCGCGCTACGCGTGGCAGTGGTGGCTGTTCCAGCGCTTGCATGTCGCTCTTCAAATTCGCGTAATTCACTCATTTTTTAAAGGTACTAAAATTTTTGTTTTCTTCATTAAAGTTGAGAAAGTGTAGATTTATGTCGTTTTTGAAATTTTTTCCTAAAAATATGAGAAATAGTTTAAATATTCATTTGTTTATTAAATAAACAATTTTTTTTGCATAATCAATAAAGGTTAATTGAAATTTCTATTGCATTTCAAAGAGACATAAATTTCTATATACTCACCAAATGTTATTAAATTTCATTAACAAGCAACGGAGTAATTGCAAATTTAGTTGAAAGGTAACAAAATATTCAATTATTAATAAATAATTAAAAAATTAATTTTTTTAAAAACGCATTTCAGGTATGTTTTTAATTCGGCTTCCTGCCATAGATTATGAAAAAATATATTTTAAATTTGAAAAGTCAGTTGTAGGTGGCCCAGTTGAGAAATTTTCACCCCTATATAGATTTGAGCAAACTGTATATTAATTCTTTGTTGAAAATCAAATAATTTATGTTTCGGTCAAGTTTCAATATCCAATATTATTGAAATTCTATCTTATATATTATTCAAATATTAAAAAAATTGATGTTGGCATAAAAATTGACAAAATTACATTGCAAGGCATTATGAATGAAAAAAAATTTAAATAGGAATCTTACAACAAAAAGGATCAAACATTTAATGACATTTGTGACTGAAGTATTACAGAACATTTGTAGATTTGACATAATGTTATAATTCTAGATCTAAAAGTTATTAATAATTTCTAGAATAAGACAAGCATTCTGTTCTAGAAATGTCATGTAATAGTCTTTCAGCACAGTTCTAGAGCAGAAGCGGGACAAAATTCCTAGAACATTTGTGACATCTATGTTTTAGTACTCTTCTAGAACATTTGTTACAGAGTAATTTAAGAACAAATTTCCGGATTTATACTATAACAAAAAGAGAATATTGTTCTAGAAAGGTGACATAATATTGTTATATCATAATTCTAGAACAAAAAAAAGTACAAAATTTCTAGAATATTTGTGATTTAAATGTTTTATAACACTTATGGAACTTATATCTAAGAACATTTCTGGAACGAAAAAATAAAACAGTTATGTTACATATTAGGAACATTGTTCTAGAACACTGTTACTATTTGGTTCTATAACTGCTACATGTTATTGATGGCACAATTGTTCTAGAACAATGTTCTTTAATTTTAATAGAACAATTATAGAACGAGTTTGCTGGGATGGTTCTTTTGTTTTGTTATATTCTTCTATTGGTATAGATTCAAAAATGAATGAAGAATCTGGATGTGAATTGCAACAACTAGTGCAGGAAGAGGAGGGTGAGGAACGATCAAGTCAAGGTGGAGAAGTAACACCTCCATCAACTCCTGCAAGGTCATCAAACCGACGAAATAAAAATGACGCACAAAATTCTTCAATTTCTGTAAGATTTAATTTTCTTATACATTTTATACAAGAGAAGTAAATTAACAAAATTTGATAAATTCATTTAAAATTTTTTTTTTTGAAAACATGATTTCTATACCTAATATAAGTTCTCCATATAAATTATTTTTTGAAAAATTTCAAAAATGGATAATCAGGTTTAGTTAAATTGTAAAGTGATCGATTATTTTTTAGTGTATATAAACCGTTCACCGTAAAAACGGCTTAAGTCGATTTTAGACATTAACTGAAAACTTAAATTTAAGATTCATTTATGAGGGATTCTTCTTCAATCGCCCCAGACCAAAAAGTGAAAGTTCTGGGATTGTCTTGATACTTTGGTAAATTGTTGTCCTATATGAAAATAATAAATCCCTAAAATATTAACTCATTAAAAAAAAATTTTAAGAAAGCAGAGGGGGTTAAAGTTTTGACGTTTTCGATAACATTGTAATTTTCAAATCCGTATAACTATGACAAAAGTCAAAGGATTTTAATTTATGTATAATGATTTTTAAAGCATTTTTCATGTACTTTTCAATAATTTATACGAAAAGTTAAAAAAAAACATTTTTCACCCCTTTTTTTCAAAATCAACCCTTATTTTTCGATTTTCACCCCTTCGGGTATTAAAAATTTTTATTTTTTAACTTTTATAAGAAAGCTGAGGTTTTTAACAACAAGCTACGTAAATATAAAAGTGAAACAACAATAATTTCAATAAGGAACATAATATTAAAGTGTGCGATGCTCCCGCGCAATCGACTTAAAAAAATATTTTTCTATAATTTGTTTAATAATAAACACTACAAAAAATATTTTTTAGGAAAAAAATTATAAAATTTCCATTATGGAAAGTTATTTCTTTAAAAATCGTTTATCATAAACGTTGCTTACTTCAGCAACGTCCTATATTTTCAATTAAATATAGGTATTTAATTTCTTTTCTGATTTTTCATTACATTTTTTATTGCCTTTTTTTGTTGATAAAAGCGTGGAGGAATTTTTTTTATTTTTTGCAACATTCTGAAGCTTTTTATGATGAGTAATTTGTAAAGGAAATTTTTAATTTTGTTTAGTTTAATAAACAATAGAAATTTTTTTTAATTGTTTTAAGTAGTATAGCAAGGGGGGTTTTGGGACAGGTTCTGATCTCGGCTAAGTACCTGCAGTCGGTAACTGCTCGGTCGGTAATGCAGATTTCTACTCTATCAGCAGTCGGTAAGGAAAAAATCTGCCAAAAATTTCAACTCAACCGATAAGGTAGGAAACTGTTTTACCGACCGAACATTGAAGTTAGTTTACCGACCACCCAATAGAAAGCGCTCACTTCAGTCTGTGGTTTTAAACTTTTTTACCGAATTAGTTCACCAGCCACCCAGTAGATGGCGCTCACTTCAGTTTGTGTTTTTAACATTTTTTACTGAATTAGTTTTCCGACCACCCAATAGATGGTGCTCACTTCAGTCTGTTTTTTTATAAATTATTTTTTAATTAAAACTGTTTTACCTACCGATTTAGTTTACCCGATACCCAATAGGTGGCGCTCACCTTTATTATCAACTTTGTGTTTTTAGATATTATTTTTTCTTAAAATAATTATTTTGAATTTATTTCCGCGCAACGGTGCTGCGCTCTTTATCTCATGGTAAAATTCTCGCTCGGTCGATAGATGGTAAGTGGTCGAGCGTGTGAGCTAGTTGTGTACCGTGCCGCGCAAGTAGCACTCCCACACGGCGGCGGCGCGCGCCGCTACTTGCCTGCGGTAGTGGTGGGGTACTGCCTTCAAAAGTCGGACTGCTCTCGTGGATCCACATAATTTAAGTAAAACTGAAATTTTCCAGCGTCATAAATTGCTTAGTACAGGTTATTATGTAAAATGTAGTTACGATAACTCATTGCCCGTGTATGTACCGTGTCCGAGGCAGGAAAATAATACTGCCTAGTGGTTTGCTGACGAGTTAAGGCAATTTTCCGAGAAAATTGATAATGTATTTAAGAATCCTATTTAGAGATGCATTTTGAGCGAGAAACTCTCGTTTTTTGTAGTGATCATACTCGATTAACGAGAATATTTTCATGAAAAAAATGTATATTGTCATTTGTTTATTCTCGTCTCAGCGAAGCTGTATTCAAATTTTTTATTCTCGGTTAAATATCTTATAATTTGGAATGTCAAACTGACAGTTTGTAATCGAGCAATTAATAGGAATAAAATGTCGAGAAAAAGAAAGCAAAGTGAAGCCATTGAAGATTTAACTCTAAATGAAGGCTCAGAAATTCTCAATGCACCTCAAAATGAAGGCGAAATTTTAACTTCGTAAATATATTTTATTTTATGAAAACTAATTTGATTTATATTAATAATTTGATAGAATTTTTATGATTATTTATTAATAAAAAACCTGAATTTTTTAATAAAAATCCTCAAATAATTTTTTTAATTTAAATATTTATTTAAATTTAATTTTTCAAACATTTATTAAACTGAATAAAAAAATAGAAATTTTATTTCTTCTTTACATTTTATTATAATAAATTATATTGTAGATTATTTACATTTATTTTTATATGATTTTAATTATTATTCTTTTAAAAAACGAAAAATTTTCAGACCTAGTACTGCACAAGAGAAAATTAAAGAAAAACAAATAACCTGTAAACGAAGAAAACTCAATGCTCCACCTTTGACTAAGTATTTTGAAATATTTTTCGAGAACAATGTGAAACAAGCTCGATGTAAAGTATGTGAATTAAATGAGACATCGATAAATAAAGTTTTAAAAATGACTGATGGTAATACTTCAGGACTTCAACGACATCTACAAAGATATCATGAGAATGAATTTAAAGACATTTATTTTGCTCCAAAATCAAAAGTAAAAATTTCTTTGTTACATAAATATATTATATTGTTAATTTTTTGAGAAAGACAGAAAAAATTTTATATAAAATTATTCTGCTTTTTAGAATATTGTTAAGATTATTATATTTACAATTTTTTATTTATTTTTCCACTTATTGTTCTGGATTTATACAAACTTGTCGAACCTTATTTTACATAAATTAACTGATAATGACAGAACCTAGATAATAAATGTAAATATTTTTTTATTTTATATTTTACTCAAGTGTTATTTCTTATTTATTAATTATAAATTATTTTAATTTATAAAAATTTTTATTGTTGAGTTTTTGTTATAATTTTTTCTGGTTTATTGTATTTAATGTATCGTCCAAATAAACCTTTGAAATATAAAAAATTGTATCATATATTCTAAATAAAAACCATGAATTTTTTCAGAAATTTGAACAAGATACATTTCTTGAAAAACTCGTCAATTTTGTTGTCATAAAATATTTACCACTCAGTTTTTTTGACGATGAGGTTTCCCAAGACTTATTCCAATATGTAAATCCATTGGCTCATGTTCCACAGCGAAACCATTTAAAAAGTTTGATTGAAAATCAATTTTACGAGAAACAGGAAATTGTTATGAAAATTTTACAACTAAATGCGTCCAAGGTGTCATTTACATTAGATGGTTGGACATCTATAGCTAACAGAAGCTACTTTGGGATTACTGCTCATTTTGTTGAAGAAAATTGGGTGCTTCAATCTCTCGTGATAGATTTTTGTCCTTCACATGGTCAACACAAGGGTAAAGATATAGCTGCTTGCTTTTTTAAAATGCTGCAAGAAAATAAAATTTTCGAGAAAGTGATGGGCATAACGATGGACAACGCTGCCGCCAACACGACATGTATGATTGAATTGCAAAAACTGATAAAAGATTTCGACTCTGAAAGTCATCACTTCCGGTGCCTAGCGCATGTTTTTAATCTTGCAGTCCAGGATATGTTGAAAGTTTTGAAAATTGACGATAAAGAATCACAGGATGGAGAAAGTGATCAGAGTGAAGAAGAGAGTGATTCGACTGAAAACGAAGAAATGGAAGAAAATGAAGAAGAATCAGAATCGACGACTTGCACCTACCCTGTAAAAAATTTGAGGAGTTTATTCAAAATTCTAAAAAAATCAGAGCAATGGCAAAACAAATTAAAAACCTGCTGCGAAACTTGCAATATTCAGATGCTTTCTCCTAACATCGACGTAAAAACTAGATGGAATTCTACACATGATATGATTGTGTTAGCAATTAGAATGCAGCCAGCAATAGATTTATTATGTGAGCATAATCAGAAATTGAACAAGTTCAAAATTACGGAATATCAATGGAATATTTTTAAAGAACTTACGAAATATTTGCGTCATTTTAAAGTCTTGACAGACTTACTCAGTGGTGAAAAATATCCTACATTAAACTTGGTAGTAATTGGTGTGAATTTGCTATTAGATAAATTGGAAACTTCTATTGAAAAACTTTATAATTTGGAAGAATTAAATCCAATAGAAGAGATGATTTTGGAAGCACTTCAAGCAGCCTATGCAAAGATCATGAAGCATTACAAGAAAACGAACTGGACTTACTGTACTGTGCTGATTTTAGATCCTAGATTCAAAGTCGAAACTTTTGACAAAACGACTTGGGGTAAAGAAATGAAGGCCATGTCAATTAAAAAATTTAAAGCAGCCTTGAGTACAGATTATTCTCAAACCATGCAGAACCAAGAAAAACAAGTAATTAAAAAAAATTAAAAACCACTGATTTTTTAATTTACAATGATAATGATTGTTTAATTTGCCGTTATTCAATTAATTTAAATTGATTATTTGTTTTTCTATTTTAGTTTAATTATTTTTTATTACTGAAAAATTAACTTAATGAATTAAATAATAATTTTGCATTCTTGTCAGCATTATTTTATAATTAATTTTGAAATATTTTTAAACTGAGTTTCCAATAATATAATTTCAAAACGTAAATTAATTTTAACTTTAATTATGTTAATTTAAAATTTTCTACTAAATATAATTATTTAAATAATTATATAGATAATCGATCAGCCAAACTACAGTAGCTGTGTTCAAAATGT